CACACACACACACACACACAAAACACTATACACTTTGAGAGATAGATAGACAGACAGACAGACAGTCAGACAGAAAGTCAGACAGACAGACATACAGACAGATAGACAGACAGAGAGACAGACAGACAGAAAGTCAGTCAGACAGTCAGACAGACAGCTACGTTAGTGACCTTGACCCACCTTTCCGTCTGCTCTCACCCCGAGGCCGGTGATGTACTCGCATGTCTTGGTGTTTGTGTTCGAGTCCCGCCTAGATCCAAAGGAGGAGGAGAACTCCGGGCCCAGGGCCAGGAAAGGGTCTGTGGATCGCTGCTTGGACGACGACCGGCCATTGGCCGTGACGTCACCGTTCTTGACGCGGCAGTCCGTTATGACGTCGATGTGATCCATGTTCAGTGTAGCGGACGGAGAACAATATCCATGCTCAGTCTCGGAGGAGACTGTGGGCAGCGTCCGGAGATTTCCCTATAGATTGGTCAGTACTTCCACACCGCCTGCAATGATTGGTCAGTACTTCCACACCGCCCACAATGATTGGTCAGTACTTCCACACCACCTAAAATGATCTCTCTTTGCTACCTTAGTGGACAGACTCTAGCGTCTACCGAAAGTCAGTATCCAAAGCCTGTCCAAGGTGATCTTCCTATACAGACTTTGCAGAGAGACTTTTCTCTCGTCTTGTGAAAGACTAGCGAAGAACTGTCCAGCACAGATATCTCACGTTGGGACTAAGGGAGGAATTCACCTCGGTCTTTGTCGCGTCGTATCCAACGAAATATTGAATAATACAATATGGTGAATTCCTTCCGAGAGGCGCATCAGAAACGCTTTTGTCTGAGTCAGCACTTCATAGAGAAAGCAAATCCCCAATCGAAGTACTTACAGGCAAACGCATTATCCTGTTTCCGTGCACAAGACGAACTGTTTCGTAATTCAAAGTCTTCAGAGCAAAAGCCGAGTGCCAATGTAAAACTGAGGCTCTATTTTGGTTGTCAAGTAGCAAAGCACATCGTGTTTACCAATTCCATTCAAATTTAGAAAAATAAAAGTTAACCAGAAAATGACATAAGCTATTCGGGATCATTATAGGAATTATAATTCAGAGCTCTTGTTGAGGAAATTCACGGAGGTAATAATACACCATGATCAGATAATGTAAGATTTTTATTTCCCCCCATTTTTGGGGGGTTGGGGTGGCGGGGTGGGGGTGTAACGATTTTCTAAACGGTATTCGTCTCTCTGTGACGCGAATGCCAAGGTAACACCGCCCTCTTGTCAACGTTAAACAACAGAAAAATCAAGAGAATTACAGTTCAAGATTGGAGGGTTCGAGCGTCGCTCTGTGCGTGTCACGGATAAAATAGAACAAACAATGGCTGTTCCCCCCTGTCTGTCTGTCTGTCTGTCTGTCTGTCTGTCTGTCTGTCTGTCTGTCTGTCTGTCTGTCTGTCTGTCTGTCTGTCTGTCTGTCC